GCGGGGTCCTTTTCCCTACAGGCTGCTGCTGTTGTTTGAATTTGGCATGGTGACATCACTGTCTGTGTTACTGCATGTCCGTACCTCAGACACTTGCAAAGTAAATAGCCTGTTTGACTTTAGTAAACCAACTGCTGTGTCTCTCTGTGGAGGTGGCTATTTCCACATGTCTTTGTTTCCTCATGTCAGACCCACCCCGTATGATTACTGGTGATCTGATTATCAAGAAACATCAAAGAGGTGGAGAAAGCACAGATCCACAGAATGAGTGAAGCAGAAGCAGGGAGATGCTTGCACTGCTGTCCTCAGGTACAGTTTGCCCTCCTGCAGGCCCTTTCAGAGGAATAATAAGCAGCACATGAGTGATATTACCAAATCTCATAAGACACTCCAGATCTAGTGAGAATAACTGTGTTCAGAGGCTGGAGTGAGCTCTCGTCCATGGTTTCACCTCCTCTGATGAGGTGGCAGGCTATGCAGCTGCACTCATTTTTATTGAGCCTCTTGAGTGCGGACCCACCAAGGACTGACATATCGGCCTTTGAGGAGATATGTCTGAGCGGCGACTTAGTGGAGCATGGTCTATCTAGAGCCCATGCCCTACTGGTCCATGTGCCCAATCACTATCCCCCCTTGTTCTTGACCAAGTGGGAACGGGACTTGGAATGCACATTCTTCTCTACACAGCGGGAGTACATTCTATACTTTGCTCACAAGGCATCCATTAACAGCTCCATTCAAGAATCTGGCTATAAGATCCTTAATAGATGGTACTATGTCCCAGCCACGCTACACAAAATGTTCCCGCATACGTCACCCTTATCCTGGAGGTGTGGCCAGAAACCGGGAACAATTTTACACATCTTTTGGTCATGTACTCGACTTCCAGAGTTCTGGGATTCGATCCTTGCCATAATTCAACGTCTCACTGGGGTGTCTCTGAGGGATGAGCCGGCGGCGGCGCTTTTACACCTCTCCCCGCTACCAAAGAAAAGGTACCGCAAATCTCTGCTGATTCACTTGGTGAATGCTGCAAGGGCATGTATCCCTCTGTTTTGGAAGCCTTCAGACCCTCCAACACTCCAAGTTTGGCTGCGGAAGGTGGATGAGTTGCGTGTTCTGTTGGTTGGACTTTTCCTTGTGTGTATTCCCTTTACTTGCTCCATGTCTCGACTATCTTCTATGTACCTGGACCTGCGAGTCCGCATGGGTACACATTTTTTGTATTAAACTTTAAATAAAGAATTTATTTAAAAAAAAGTTGTGCGACCTTACAGTAGCAGAGGTCACACGCCTTCCACACATTGCGCTAATAGTCGTACGATCGCGGGATTTCCCACGATTATCGTACGATTATCGCAAGGTGTGTGGGCACCTTTATTCAAACCAGGTAGAGGAAGCACCTGTTGCCGATTTCCTCCTCTCTCGCGCCATAATGGCGTGAAAATGTGACACGTTGCTCGTGTTTGGTTGATAAATACGTTTTGCTGTGTAAAAATGCACACGCACCTGGTGCGTGTTTAGGTTAGTAAATCACCCCCACAGACTCTCATTGCAGTCTCAGGACTTGAAAGCAGTCAATTCATCCAAATGGACCATGCATCAAACAAAAAGTGGAAACTCGTAGTGCAGATGGTTTTAAAAAGATACTAAAATGTATTAAAAAAAGTATACTACTCACATATCATAGATAAAAATAAGGTTTTTAGTAAGCAGCTACAGACACTGTGTGCAATCGCTCAGCTCCTATACTCCACCCTACGTATGTTACGTCAAGGGGCATGACTTCTTCAGGGGTATGTTTCTATTCACATTTACTTGTATAAAGGAAGACAAGCTGCTAAGACGCACACAAAGCTCTTGTACGTGATCCCAAATAAACGTTTGTGAATAATTCCGGTGTTTTTTTTTTAGAATGCAACAAAAAAGGTAGTGAAAACAGAATATTTTATAAGTGTAAAATCAGCTGTGGCTTTTTCTGTGGGTCTGTAAAATGGTTTCATGCAAACAGATTATATGTACAGTCTATATCGTCTGTATATCGATGCTCTGTCCTTAATACTTTTTCTTTCCTATTATAATTTATATTAGCCATATAGCTGAACTGATGTTTTGCATGGAGGAGATCCAAACGTTAGTGAAAAAACACCTGCCTATAATCCAGAAATATCATCTCCAGTATTTAGCCAGGTTTGATGCCCTGGTCCTCAGTGATATCATTCAGGTATGTAAACCATTACGAAAAGGATATATTAAAGATTAACATGTACCTTCTATGAAAATGGAAAGTTCACTTTATTCTACCCCCCACCCCCCAAAAAACCCATATAACTAGGGACTGCACTGAAATTTCGGCCACCAAAATATATCGGCCAAAAATGCCAAAAGCACCATCTTTCTGCTGAAATTGCGGTGCATCCATGATTTCTCTCCTCCTCGCTGGGTGCTCCTCTGTGTCCCCTCACACTGTGAACGGTGTGTCACAGGAGGCCGAGCTCTCCTCCTGCTCCACCACGCTCCACCACGCTCGGCCTCTTGTGACAGATCAGGATGGGGAGCAGTGTGGGGGCGGAGACAGCTGTGAGCTGCCTCAGGAGGTTGAGCCGGCGGGGCAGCGAGTCAGGATGGAGAGCGAGTACAAGCAGTCAGCGATCAGCTGATCGCTGACTGCTTGTAAATAATTGAGGACATAGTATGTTTACTGTGTCCCCAATTATAAATGATCAGGAAGTGCTCTACATCACTTGTTGTTTATTCATAATTGTGGACATGGTAAACATACGATCTCCACAGGTTGTGAATGGACAGGAACAATCAGTATAGAGGATTCCTGTTCATTCATAACAGGGGCTGCAGTCTTTTTCTATTCTCTTTTTCTAGTTAAAAGACCCCCGATATTTCCCAAAGCCCCCAATAGTAAAGTTAAAAAACTAAAATATTTAATAAAAAAATAAATAAAAAAATAACAATTAAATAATAAAAAAATATGTTAAGTTTAGAGAGAAAAAGATAAAAATAAAATATTAATTTTTTTTAAAAGTTAGAAAAAAATGTTTTAGGCTTCGGCCTGACAATTTTTTTTATTTTCGGTTTTGGTCAGCACATTCTATTTCGGTGCACCTCTACAAATAACTTGAAAAAATACTTAAAAAAGAAAAATACTTAAAAAAGATTATTTTTTTCCTCCAAATTAACCCTTGCAGTGAGGCTACCCCTGAACTGCAAGGGTTAAGTGCTTGTTTTGGTCTAGGGGCCGAAATACAGAAGATATACTAACCTGATCCTTGGTCCTGCCTCAGTCAGCGGTCATCTCTGGTCCTCTCCGCTCCGGGAGTGGAATGTTCTTCAGCATCCTCATATCGAATGGACCTGCATTAGATGTGATGACATCACGGGCCCTTAGACAACTGGAGCCCAGGGAAGAAAAGGCTGCGGGGAGCAGTCTAGTAGCCAGGCAAACAGCTATTTTCACTCCTAGACCAAAACAAACTCTTAACCCTTGCACTGTGGTGGTGGCACAAATCAATAGGCGCATAGAAGAAATGTAGAACAATTTATTTCCACAACAATGTTTCCTTTTTGAATGCATGTTATTTACCTGTAAAAGCCTCTAAAGGCCCTGAGAGTGCAGATATAATATGTACCTGTTTTTTTTATATATCTTTATGTATTTCTTTTTTTACTTTTTTAGTCATCACTATACTTACATTTTTTTCTCACATTTTGCTATCACAAAGGGGATAACAAGCCCATATGTGACATCATTTGGAGGTGACAGGTTCTCTTTATGAATACATCTGGGGTCTATTAGACCCCTAATGTCTCTCCTGCCCTCCAATACAGAAAATCAAGCACATACTTTTTCTTGATTGTCTGCTTACCTGGCATTTCAGCCGGGTTTTGACAGTTCTGAAGCAGAAAGAGCTGAGAGCATAGCACTTGCGGCTTCATTCATCACATAGCAGATCGGGGAACAAATGTTCCTTGGTCTGGTCCTGCAGACCAATGAACAACAATGGTTGGGGTAGGATCAGGCCTGGTACAGCAGTGCTGGCTGTAACCCCCCTGTGTATCTCCCTGTGTATCCACTGTCAGCCATCCATAACCTAATGCAGGTTGGCAATCGCGGTCTGGACAGAACAGTCAGACAGAACAGTCTGGACTGCAGTCTACCATTTAGTGACAGCTGTGCTAGGGAATCGACCTAGACAAATTCCTTAACAAGTTCAAAGGCACATTGCAAGTCAATAAAAAATTGGTTTATGCAAAGGTAAAAAATAAGCATTTAAAATACTTGATTTTTCTGTGCTTTTACTTTTTAAGGTGGTGACAGGGTCTCTTTAAATTAAATACAGGTATTCCTCACTTAACGACCGAGTTCCCTTCCTACGACCAGGTCGTTAAACGGATTGGTCGTTAAGTGAGGAACCCTATGCAGTACTGTACTGCATTAGTACAGAACTGTATAGCGTTACCAATGTACAGTACCGAACAGTGTACTGTACATCGGGCAATGGAAATACTTACCGGGACCCCCAGTGAAGATCGGAGGACGTCACTTCCGCCGGCGACACGGCGTGCTGACGCGCAAGGTCTGAGGTCGATCGGCGGTTCGTCGTAAGTGCGAGTGGTCGCAAAACAGGTACTTCGGTAAGCGAGGAACATCTGTATTGCAGTGTGTAGCAATAATATGTTATAACATTTTTTAAGGAAAGCAGCCTTTTCCTTAGAACATAAATAAATAAGAATACATACACTATATGTTTGTTGTGCTTGGATCTATTGTAAACTGGAGGCCTTATGTTTTTTTTACATGACAAGAAAATCTTATCTGAAATTGAACTACATTTGCAAAACAACAGGGACACATTTTCATCAGTAGAGCTTGTAGGCACACAGTCATTTGAAGTTAAAGCATCATCCCTCTGCTAGAATCATGTTTTTCAGTTCCTAGCTTTGCTTTGAATATTGTGACAATTTGTAAATAATCTTATAAGACATTACTTTATTTTTACTGATGATGAGAAAATAAAAGTGGCTGATAACCATGAGTCCCACATTTCTCATTTGGAAGGATTGTTCCTCTTTTAAAATCAAGTCCTTCTTTCTTTCCTTCTCAGTTGTCCCTATTTTAGGCCTGATGTATAGATCAAAAAAGTTCTATTTAACTACCAAAAGTGGTTTTCTGCACTAAATCCTTTATTTTATCTCCTAATTAGCTTGTTTGCTATTTCAAAAAGCCAGTATAAAGGAAAAGTAATGGTGAAAAACAACATTTCTTAATGGTCTGCATAACTGGGGGAGTAGTACGGGGTATGTCTATTGCCTAAATACATGGAGGGGAATTTATCAAAACTGGAGCAGACAAAAACTGGAGCAGGCCATCTCTTTGTCTGAGCCCAATGTGCCCGAGGCCTTATTTAGACAGGCTGCAGTCTCCACATCCCTCTGAATAGCAATCTGCAGTGAATCGCTTTTTAGAGGCCGGTGGAGCAGTGGCTACCTGGCATTCAGGATTAGTGGCTGCCTGGCATTCAGGATGCAATACCGCTGCCTCCTGAATGTAGGTTTTTTTTAAATCCCAATGGGATTTTTTATTGAAGTACCACTCCACAACCACATACCCACGCGGTTGTGGTGAGGTCCCAAACATTTCACTTGTCAGCTTTGACAAGCTGACACGACATGCTGTAAACTTTTCCAGCAACAAAAGTATTGCGGCCGTGGCAATGTATACACCACTATGCGGATGCAGTGCTACCATTGCAGCAGGTGGCTGGGGGGTGGTAAAACTGCTCATCAACTGTGCGCTTTTACTGCCCCTCACCGCCCATGTGAACCAGGCCTAAAAGTAAATCCGTCCCTGAAAAACAGTTATGTGCTTTTTTATGTTCAGTACAATAAATCTATCATACATTCACTAGTCAATCTTCTGCCGCTTAACTTCTAAACTGTTCAGAGTAACCACAAGTCCAGTGTGTATAAATCTCTTCTAGAATCTCACCGTTTGCCCAGAAGAGGAATCTGTGATTATGTCTTCATTTGTAAGCACTCTGTCTTCACTGAATGTAAAACAAGGTAACACATCATTTGTAGAATAATATTTTAAATATTGTTTTGAAATGATTGTAAAATAATGTATTAAAGTGGAATTAATTGTGTATCACGGAGATTATATTTCTCCGCATAGGTCTTATTTTATGGGTCTTAGTTGCTCCTCTAGATGTTTGAAGTGTGGACAGGAATCAGCAGATTTATAACATGATTTTTGAGGCAGCCCTAAGATTTGTTCGGCATCTATAAGAATAGACCGAACAGCAGTGAGTAGCCTGCCGGAGGGTCGGCTCAGCCGATCCAGATGTTGGATCGGCTGAGTCGAACTCCTTCTGCACTTCATGCTGAGCATGGCCGACCCGAAGCCATGTGAAGCAAGCCGATATACGGCTGAAATCAGCCGTACAAGCCTGAAGTGAATAGCCGAACAGTGTTCGGCTCACTTCACTTGGGGTCGGTTGTTCACTCTGCTGCCCTCGGCAGCTTAGTGAATAGACCCCAAAGTCTTTTTGGTATGATATTGCCCAGTATACTCGGCAAAACTTGGTCAATTATTTATGTTTGTCTGCAGCTTGGGCGATCTTTGGAATTCTATATCTTCATGGAGTGAGAATCACTCCTGGATGTAAGAAGCTATTGTCTATTACTATATATCTTTGATGGGGAAGAACGATCCTACGTTAATGGATATATTCTGAACCACCTTCTCTAACTCTTTTTCTGTGCAAGTTGATGTTTGTATTTAAAATGATTGGGCTGAGACAATGCTTAGTAAGGATACCCAAGCCCAAACGTTTTTTTGATGTAAGGGAATCATATATTGACTCAAAAAACAAAATCTTATGTATCTTTTATTCTAACACCATGGTATACTAAGAGGGTGATTTCTAATGATCCCCCGATAATTATAGCTGAATAAAAGAAGAGGACCCTGGTCAATTTTGAGGTTGGTTGCTGCAAAAAAACCAAAAACAAAACGCATTTTTATTTCTGTTATTGTATTTATCTATGCAGTGAAATTGGAACGTGGGTCTATTTCTTGTTGTATACTATGGATGTTACTTTTTTTGATGTGTCTTGGTTTTTTTATTTGTGGTTTTTTATAAAAAAAAGAATAAATGTAAAGTTTTTAGTTTTGGAGTGGAGAGGTATCAGGCTTTTATTGCTCTAGGTCCTGCGGACTTTAAACTGAAAGTGAAAAGAAATGCTAAGGTTTGGGTTGCCATCTGAACAGTAATAGAGGGGAAGTCTTCTAAGGAGGACATTAGCTGACCACCAGGAATTTTCCTCACTTTTGCAGGGATTTCCTCTCAATTCCTGTTGTAACTATTGGAGAGGAAGGGAAGGGAAATCTCCCCAATGGGACATGGATGGTTATAAAAAAGCTAAAAAGAGTTTTAACTCTCCCTCACTCTATTCAAAACTAAAAAGAAAGGTTGGGGCTTCAGTTCTACTTTACCTGTATCCTGCCATTCTTGTTATACAATTTCTCTGCTACTTTCTGGCTCCAGTAAAGAAAACGCCACACACCTTCTGTATGCGTATCAAAAAATGTACACTAGTTAGAGTCACTGACAAATGTGTTTCATGCCACAGCACCTAGTTAGTGAATCAAACGGAAGGTAATGTGCCCGGACAATAAAGCATTTACATATTTCTAACACAGACCTCTGCTGAGTGTACTGTGGAGTAAATCATCCTCACAGCAATCACAAGATCACAAGAACAGAGATTCTGAAGTTGTGATTCAGTCTGTTACTAACAGCTTACAGCACTTGTTGTTTGTTTATAATAGAAGGCTGGCTGGCTGCCAGGTATCTGATGCAAGACAAAGCAAGGGGAATGAGCTGTGATTTCAATTCCTCTGTTGTCAAATCTGAAGATGAATTTACCCATATTCCCTGCAGTTACATAGGTCACTGAGGGCTTATTTTGAAGAATTGTACTGGATGTTAAAGCTAAAGTTTTATCTGTTTATATTTTGAGTTCTGTTTAGTTAGGGTTTACAGATAGATGAGGATTGTCTCCCTATGTGAAAGTACTGGGCCAAGCACCAGCACTGCTACATGTAGTGGGTTAAATGCTCCTCCATACCTTGGAGTACTAAGTGTTTTCTTTACTACCATAGGCAGAATAAAGCAGCAGACGAGTGAAGGAAAGGTGAGTATGTGGTGCTGGGAAAGACAGATTAAAGCAAACCTATTCCTCCTCTCTGCATAGGCAAAGCTCTAAGGATCACATTCACAATATGACAGAAAACTGCATACGGATATCTAAGGCAGCTGATCACTAAAGGGTGAATAGTTTGGAGAAGTGAACCATCTAGGATAACATCGCTGAACTGGAAATTGAGGTGAATAGGAGATTTTTTTTCCAAATCAGCTACTTTGGCCTAGATTGTTCACTTCTCCTGCCTTTTCCAAACTCTTCACCATTAAGTGAATAACCCCATAAATGTCATTTTAAAGCTACATGATTTTCTCATTTCCTATATGCTCTTTCCTTCTGCAGTTGACAACAAAGAAACATTTGATTTTAGAGCCCTGAGACTTGACTGGTTCCGGCTCCAGGTAAGAACATTGTGTGTACAAAATATCATGCCTACTATTTTATGCAATGCATCTTATTAAATTCCTATTGCTGTGAACCCTAATGCAAGCAAGTAGTTTAGAGCCTTTCACAATTGCCAATAGTCCGCTAATAAATATCAAGCTATTAAATGGTAAAAGTAAGGTGTGTAACTGTCTAGCTGCCATAATTTGTGGCACCACTAGATGTCAGCAACAGTAAATGGCATTTGTTTAGCAACGGCTAAATTAGTTCTTTTGATTTCGTAGCCTGCTGTTAGGAAGAATTATAAATAAACAATGTGCGCCATTGAAATTAAACAGCTCCACTGCAATGTTTGGCAATAATCACCATGGTTTTCAATAAAACAGGAAGCGTACTGAGTGATTGTAATGGAAACAGATAAATTAAGGCATACATTAGTACCCCCAGCTGAACAATGCCATTCCTCGGGGATAAAAGACAGGGCCACCACATGCCACGTCTGGAGCACAAATTTCATCTATTCTGTTGTCATTACTGAACAAGCATTAGCAGTCTAACAGCTGCTGTTTTTTAGTGAGATTCCACTACATATGTGTAATAAGGGGGATTATAGTATGCAAAGCAAAAAGGCGAAACTGCTCTCATTGTAACCATGGGTGCAAGGACTTTATTCCATGTGCTTGGCAGATTGGGCAAAACTATATGCTGATCATTACTAGGCCTAAACTGCCAAGATGTATTTAAAGTAAACCTATTCTTTGAAAATACGTAGGGATTGTTCATACCGCAAGGTGCAGTATAACACACATTACAGTAATGCACACCAACACACAAGTATATGTGTTGTGGAGTTTTTCCATTCATTGTCATTTGCACACACACATCTACAGTACAATGCACAGCAACATGCCTACACAACAGCCCACCACAATGCAAAGTATCAAATGTTTTGTGCACTGCAATTTAAAAATTGTGCTCAACCTTCTTCTTGTGCTTTAAGTTGCATTAAGGCCTGTCCACACCATAAACGTGCATTGAAGGCACACTATCCGTGTGTTTAGTGTATAATATCGCACAGCGCACCTATTGTGTGGTACTGTGTGCTGCTGCATTGCTATTCATTTAAATAACACGCCTTGGTGGCCATGCATTAAAGCATAGTGCGCAGTACCACAATACCGTGCGTTGCGGTGAAAAAAAGTAATGATTACACTACTTATTTTCACTGCACTGCATCACTTGGTATAACAGTACTGCAAGGTATGTTAGGGTGCCATTGCAACTTACCAGCACAAAATCCTCTCTTACATTGGCGGTCAGAGTAAATGACCTGTTACATTGGTGGTCAGCGTAAAATCCTCTCTTACATTGATGGCCAGTGTAGAATCCCCTCTTACATTGGTGGTCAGTGTAGAATACCTCTTACATTGGTGGCCAGTGAAGAATCCCCCTTACATTGATGGTCAGTGTAGAATCCCCTCTTACATTGGTGGTCAGTGTAGAATCCCCTTGCATTGATGGTCAGCATAAAATCCTCTCTTACATTGGTGGTCAGTGAAGAATACCCCTTACATTGATGGTCAGTGTAGAATCCCCTCTTACATTGGCGGTCAGTGTAAATGTCCCTGTTAAATTGGTGATCAGTGTAGAATCCCCCTCACATTGGTGGTCAGTGTAGAATCCCCCTTACATTGGTGGTCAGTGTAGAATCCCCTTGCATTGATGGTCAGCATAAAATCCTCTCTTACATTGGTGGTCAGTGAAGAATACCCCTTACATTGATGGTCAGTGTAGAATCCCCTCTTACATTGGTGGTCAGTGTAGAATCCCCTTGCATTGATGGTCAGCATAAAATCCTCTCTTACATTGGTGGTCAGTGAAGAATACCCCTTACATTGATGGTCAGTGTAGAATCCCCTCTTACATTGGTGGTCAGTGTAGAATCCCCTTGCATTGATGGTCAGCATAAAATCCTCTCTTACATTGGTGGTCAGTGAAGAATACCCCTTACATTGATGGTCAGTGTAGAATCCCCTCTTACATTGGTGGTCAGTGTAGAATCCCCTTGCATTGATGGTCAGCATAAAATCCTCTCTTACATTGGTGGTCAGTGAAGAATACCCCTTACATTGATGGTCAGTGTAGAATCCCCTCTTACATTGGTGGTCAGTGTAGAATCCCCCCTTACATTGGTGGTCAGTGTAGAATCCCCCCTTTCATTGGTGGTCAGTGTAGAACCCTCCCTACATTTGTGGTCAGTGTAGAACCCCCCCTTACATTGGTGGTCAGTGTAGAATCCCCCTTACACTGGTGGTCAGTGTAGAATCCCCCTTACACTGGTGGTCAGTGTAGAATCCCCCTTACATTGGTGGTCAGTGTAGAATCCTCTCTTACATTGGTGGTCAGTGTAGAATCCCCCCTTACATTGGTGGTCAGTGTAGAATCCCCCCTTACATTGGTGGTCAGTGTAGAATCCCCCATTACGTGCATACAAAAGATTTCCAGCTTTGCTCTATCTAATTTAGAATTCATATTCACAGTGTAATGCCTCCTAACTAGTTTTATTACACAAGATTTTCGCCACCTTGAACCCATCAGCAGCCACAACATTTGTGGCAGTACTCAGCAGAATGGTCAGTGTCATATGATGTTTTCTAAATATTTGATTACAGTGTAATAGTTGTTTATTTTTGTATTCTCTGCAAGAGCTGTTGGGTTGCCGCACTTTAAATAGACTGTATGGAGTAAGGCCGGCCATAAGTATGTAGATTTCTCTTGTTCAGCCTGTTGGCTGATTGAGAGAAGTCGCTTGATTCCCCCATCCACACTAAAGAATGCAGATGAATGAATCACCCCTGATGGCTGTTGAATTCTGACAGCCACAGCACCTGTGGTTGTCTGAAAACCTGAACAGTGACTGCATTTGATTAGATGCAGTCACTTTTCAGACAACAATGTTACACCCGGTTCCTTTGATTTTACTAACCGACTTTTGTCGAGCTGGTTGGTGCCGGCAGGGCCACACATGGATCAAATTTGAGCCATGGACGGCCAGTTTAAAAGTTGTTGAAAGCTAAATACATAAATATTTTGATACCTTCTTGGCTGTATTTCAGTCCTTATTAACAAAAACTACTGCATATATACTATTTTTTAAATTCAAATGTACAATTTGTTATAATATACCTCGCTCTTTTTACATGAATGCCCTTCCAAAATGGCTTGCTGGATGTAAGGCGTCCCTGGAAATTTTTTTGAAATGTTGGCAATGTGAGCACCTGCTTGCATCTCTCATCACCGAGAAGCAATATTTGTAAACCAAACAGCTCTTGGCATGCTAGCCAGAGCTCCTAAACAATGTTGGTAATTAAAAGCAAATCAGCAAACGTTCTAAAGAAATGGATGAACCACCAAAAATGTAATAAAAGATAGTAAAAATGTATAATAATATTGAAATCAATCACATGAAAAAACCCTAACCCATGACAAATGACAGTCCCAAAGATGCAAAGATTATAATTAGATAATTAGAAGAATGAGCCACAAGTAGATCTATGACATTGCCTGGTAAGATCAGACTTTTGATCTGGTTATTCTGGTTATTATTCAGGTACAACTGAAACCATAAATCATAATAAGATCAGTATAATCCAATACCATGTAACAAAAACACGTTTGTCCTGTTTGTTCTTATTACATTAGCCTTTTCAATGGGGTATTCAGTTTCCTCAGGGTATACTCTGTTTTGTTCCTAGGCATACACCAGCGTAGCTAAAGCCCCGCTATCTCTCCGGGACAATCCAGATCTTGGGAAAATTATGAATCTGATCATGTTTCACACCTGGATGCTGGACTCTGTGGAAGATCTGATTATTGAGACCTCAGACCTCTCCATCTTTTGGTTGGTATTGCTGTCAACTTAGACTCTGACTTTAGCATGTATGAAGTTAGTGTTTCCAAATAAAATACAATTCATGGAAGTAGAAAACAATACTTTAAAGGGCCTAAAGAATGTAAATATAGGAGATGCTTTTGCTGTCTTTATAAAGATGCGGGCTCTGGACTTGTCATTTAGATCCTAGCTTCACCATCTAGGGCAGTAGACCTCAGGCCAGCACCAAAGCCCTGAAGACCTCAGACCAGGACCAAAGCCCTGAAGACCTCAGGCCAGTAACAACGCACAGCAGACCTCAGACCAGCACCAATGCACACACTTTAGCTTGCATCAGCCCAAAAACAATTTATGATTAATAAATAATACAAAAACAAAACAGTATTGTAGCAGCAGTCTCCCCTACCAAGATGGACCAAGACTTAAAGGGGAACTATGAGGTGAGTGAAAATCACTCAGCCTCATAGTTTGGCTCAATAG